TACATAATTTCAGTTGTTTCTAACTTGGTTGTTGTGAACAGTGTTGAAAGTCTCTATCCCGATATGCTTCTTGTTCATTTTCCTAGGCTGTTTGTTTGAAATAATGTGTTACCTTAAATGGGTTCTCTCAGGGGTTTAGTGGTTTGGTTTGTTTGTTTTTTCCCCTTATTGGAAGCTGAAACGGTCTGGCATCTTCTGAGTCTGAACTCCTGGTTTAGTTTATATCAGGAGTTTTTCGTAACAGAAGATACATTACTTGCTTTATCTTGTCCGAGAGATAAAAAACACTTGTGTGTATTACAGATTGTCTGGCTTGTGTGTATGATAGAACGTTCTTGCTGGTTCAGCTATAATTTGTCTAGTGTATGATTTCACTTTCATCTTTGGTGTAAATTTGAGTAGTGTGTATTCACCAGTGGTGATCTTTCATTAACATATGTTATTGGTGGGATTTGTTTGTCAGGCATTCCTCCTGACCAGCAGAGGTTGATTTTTGCTGGCAAGCAGCTTGAGGATGGTCGTACGTTGTCAGACTACAACATTCAAAAGGAGTCTACCCTTCACTTGGTGTTGAGACTCCGTGGTGGTGGCAAGAAACGCAAGAAGAAGAATTACACCACCCCCAAGAAAAACAAGCACAAGAAGAAGAAGGTCAAGCTTGCTGTGCTGAAATATTACAAAGTAAGTGGCCTACTTAACTGTTGATGTGGTTTTCTCTTATGTTGCTGCTGATATCGCTGTTTGGTGAGTGCCCGGGCAGCAGTGGACACTTGTAGGTTTAGTACACTCCTTTACGTCTGTAGAGCCTCATGCAGAATGGTTGGTGGGTGCTCTGGTGTGGTTTTCTCCTTATTTCCTATCAAAAGTCTTATCGTCTTTATCTCCCCTCCTTTTTTGTGTTTGTGACTCTCTTGTAACACGTCTAATCTTCGGCAATCATATGACCTTATTGAGTTGCAGGTGCCGAAAAACGCTTTTTTAAAAACAATCTGAGGGGTGGCTTTTGTTTAGTAAAAATTATGTTTTAGGGGTAAGATCTTAGGGCGGCTACTGTATAGACACTTTAATTGTGTGGTAACACTTCACAGTTTGTGGGCTCTGGGAACTAAACTGGGTTACGTCCAGGCTCCTCTGCTGCTTGGCAGGTGACTGAGTGTTTCATCACCATTGTAGATGATGATGGATCGTCCTGTTACAGTTCACTGACACAGTGGCGTATGAAAGAACTGTGGTTAAGTAATTGGGAGGGAGGGTGTGTGTCCTTTTAAATTTGTTATGTCGTGCTATAATTTCATGGTCACTTGCATCAAAATATTGATTCTTTAGACACCTCTGCTCTGTTTAGTCAAGCCTTTCCATTTCTTTGCTCTGCCATGATTCACCTTTTTTGCATCTTAGACCGTACCAGCAAACTATTGCATATTGTGTAATCTCTGCAGACAAAACGCACTGGGGCGTATGGCAACAGTTTCTTTAAAGTGTGCTATATTTGGGAAACCACAGCTGTGGGGCATGCACTGGCCCATTGCCCTTAGCTCACACCATGCCAGTACACGAACCCTTTTGGGTTTTCTTTCCGCATTTCCTGTGGGTAGTGAAAGTGGTTTCTTTTGTGGGACTGGGAAGCTGCCCGCTTCTCTGATTTTTTTACCCTAATGAGAACACATACACACCCTCCCACTTATCAGCTGTGATTTTTTATCTTATCCGTGATTTGTTTTCGAGTAGTTGTGTGGAAAACCATCAAGTAAGCAGCTTCATCTTCCCTTAGACCACATTTCATGCAGTCAAGGCGTTTGGTGTTGAAAATCACACACACACACACACACCAAATGTTCAAAGTTGGCAGAAGGCGTTCCTCCGAATTTTGAATTCTAATTTATTTTTTTTAAACCAGTCACAGTTTCACTTCGGTTTTTCCACGCAAGTAGGGTTACTGATCAGGTTTTCGATTTAGCAAATAAGAAATGAAACGGGTGTGTCCGTTTATGGCAGTGCATGTTTTACTGGTGTCTATTATATTACATGAAGTTCTGGTCCTAGGAAAGTATTTTCCCCTCTTTTTTTTTTCCACTTCTCCCTGTTAGTGTGATTTTATGGAATATGATTGTGGTATTTTTTGCCTTGTTGACTCGTCTTATGTTTTTTATTGCTTTTTATTTTTTTCCAGGTGGATGAGAATGGTAAAATCACTCGTCTGCGCCGTGAGTGTCCCAACAAGTACTGCGGTGCTGGTGTGTTCATGGCATCCCACTTCGACAGACAATACTGTGGCAAGTGCTGTCTGACATATGTTTTCAACAAGCCCGAGGAAGAAGCTGAGGCATAGAATGGGTGTTTATTAAATACAAAAAACCTGTACACACAGCCTTCTGAGTATTATATTCTTTGTGAAGTTTTATGTTTTCTGTGTAACAATTGACTGTTTGTGTGCTCTGTGTTTTGCTCCTTCTTTCCTTAGATATCGCTCTTTTTTTTCTTTTCTTTTTTTTGCCTTTGTTTGTTATTCTTGTAACATCTCTGATCTTCGGCACTTACCCTGTGGGTGTTGTCTTGTCCATAAACTTGATGCTGTGATGGCACTGTCGTGACTTGGTCCATTGAGTCACTGTTTCAGGTCGATTCCTCCACTTTTTATCAAATCAGTCCTTCAACACTAACTTCCTGCAAGGCTCCTTAAAAAGGAATGAATAAGATCTTTTTGTTGGTGTGAAAACAGTTAAGATTATTGTTGCCTTCATTCTCAACTTTCGTTGGGGTTCACGGTAGCTGGTCATGGGCACTATTTTTTCTGGAAACTGATAAACGACAGTAGTGTCCTCAGTAGGTTTTAAATATTCATTGCACTGTGCTTGTAGACATCCTGTATGTTTCAAATTTAGACCAAGGAAATTCTGCGCCACCCGTTGCCAAGACGAAAAGTGGCGGTCTTGCTCGGTGTCACTATGCTAGTATTAGTATAAACTAGTCAAACCTGGTTGTTTCGCCTACCTTGGGACGAGCATAAAGTTGGTGGTGAACAGCATACCACCAATTGCCATCTTGACTAGTGTAAGAGTGGTGGTTGGCTGGTGCTCTGGTGTGGTTTGCTTCTTCTTTCCTATCAAATGTCTATCGTCTTTATCTCCACTCCTTTTTTGTGTTTGTTACTCTCTTGTAACACCTTTAATCTTCGTCACTTATATGACCTTATTGTGTTGCAAATGCTGTAAAACACTTACTAAAACTAAGAGAGTGGTAGAGACTAGTTACAAACTGGCCAGTCTTGACTCGTCTAGATCTGATTTGTGTGATTGCCATGTGCAGGGAAAAAATAAATAGCAACTAATTACATTTCAATTGGAGCATGTTTGTGGTTGGGCCTGGTGGTACAATGTAATGGTGATGTCATCGATGGAGGACTAAGTAGAGACAACTCAAGACAGGAAATCTCCGATGGTCAACATTCTTGTTAGTGTTACAGTACTGGGCTGTTGAAAATGTATGCACTAGAGTAGGAAAATGTACACAGCGGCAATAGAAACTTTCCACTTGTAGAGAAGCCTGTCTTATAGTAATTATTGAACATTGGCATAAGTATGTCAATAAGTGTCTCATTTAGTGACACAGTGTTAGTCTCGGAGGACCCGTGTGCAAGTTGTGGACGTTAATTAAAGATCTAACTCTTATAGTCTACGGGCAAAATTGAGAATTTTCTACCTACTGAAAAAGTTTAGTGTGTCTCGTGCACTCATGTGACCTTATGCAGTTGCAAGCTCTGTAAAACACTTACACACACACCCCCCCCCCCCCAAAAAAAAAACTCTCTTAAATATAGCTTGTTCCAGTCGTTTTGGGAGTTCCCTCTCAGTCTCAGGCCCTGTCAGTTCTTGCATAATTATTGGAAAGATGGCAAACGATGGTCACTATAAGGCCGCCTTGCTCGATGTCCAAATGTTTGTATCCTTCTTTCTATCGGTGAAAACCACCTCTTCCAGTGTCTGTATGATGAACCTGACGTGAAGAGCTGGTCATTGTGAGAAAGTGATTTCAAAAATACCAGAGCCGTATCTCTCTTGTCTTCTCGACCTGTGGTCTGGGTCTGTCTGTAAAGTGTAGATGTAACTTTTTTGTTGGGTTTTTTTCGGCTCTAAAGTCGCCGTGTTGATCTAAACACAGTTTAGATTTCCTAATTTCAGCGGAACTTACGTCACAAAATGTGTTAATTAATTTACATGTAGTTCACAACGTGACCACGTGGTTAAATTTTTTTTCAGGAAAACACTAAAAGGTCATCGCTGGGTTCATGGTGAGTGATGTGCAAAATTTCACTCACTTTTAAAGTGAACAAGGGCACAGTTACTATACAAAGTGGAAAGTTTCTATTGCCGCTTGGTTTACTTGATGAAATTTTAATTTGGAAAAGGAGGCTGGCCACACAAAAGAAAACTCGAAAGTAACATCGATCGTTGGAATAAGTCGATCTTTCTGTACAATGTACAAACGCATCATGTGCGTCCCCTCCTCTAATTTTTGGCTCACTAGATAGATACATGTACTAGATCTAACTAAACACGTGGGTGGTTGGTGGGTGCTCTGGTGTGGTTTGCTCCTTCTTTCCTCTCAAACATCTATCGTCCTTATCCCCCCTCCTTTTTTGTGTTTGTTACTCTCATGTAACACCTCTCATTTTTGGCACTTATCCTTATTGTGTTGCAAGTGCCGTAAAACTTTTACTAAAACTAAAACAAAAGCAAAATAACTAAATGTACGCTTCGATCTGCGCAACAAAATGGTGTCAGGACGCAGGTAAAGCGGGCGGCAACAACTTACAACCAAGACAGCGTGCGTCGTGAGAACAAGTCTGGACATTCAGATGATATAATAATCAAAATGTTGTCATCCTGCAAGGCAATGAAAATGACTGACAGTACAATGTAGTGACAGCGGGTATACACACCTTGTGAGTGTAGATGAACACATAGATCATAAGATTTACATGTATGTTACTTGGGCTGGGGGGGGGGGACTTTCTCAACCATACATGATTAATTTTAATGATCATTCCTACAACAAGGGGGCTCTCGTGGCCCAGAGGTTACGGTGTCGGCCTCTCTTTCAAATTCGAAGGTTCCGGGTATTGACCGAAAAATGTTTTTTTCTCTTAAGCCCCGGTTACGCGCAACGATAAATTGTACAAAAACTGGACGATTGTGAGACAAATCGTGTGGCCAGAAAATTGTACAAAATTTGGACGATGGCTTGGAGACTCGGTCGAGAATTTATTTTTTCCGTGCGATCATGGGCAGATTTGGGGGAGACGCGCTGTGATCAAAAAGATTAAAAGTAGTTCTAGCTCCTTGACTCCTTGGCTGTGAAATAGGACTAGAATCACTTTAAACCTTGCCGCAGTGCAGGATTAATTAGGGCTCAAAATGTTTAAAAGTAATTATCGCAGGTTAAAAACTGATTTCATATTCGGGAACAGCGTCTCAAAATAAGCTACGACTACGATGGTCGTGGTGAACCTGATTTGACGCGTTATTATGTAAACTTTAACAATTTTATTTAGTTGATCGTCAATGGTGAAGTTTTGTACATGTATCAATATCAAGGCCACACGGTGCGTTGCACATCTGCAGTCAAGTCAATGACTAGGAATCTCCCTGATCGAAAGAAAACTGGACGATAGATTGGAACGTCTAAACAGACTACACACACGGACAGTTCTCGCATACGACAAATCTGGCACAATTTATTGTTGCGTGTAACAGTAACAGGGGCATTAAAATTTAAAATCATGTCTCCTTTCACCTGATCCTGCTCTCTTGCAACGTTCTGTCCTCTGATTTCGTCTCCTCTTCCTGTCCCTGCCCTCATCCCCTTTGCTCCGTCCTCTGGGCTCCTGACTCCTGCTGCATAGCTACTCCTTGATCGGGCAATATTGCATTATAATGATAAACATGTAGTATCGGTCGGAATATGACGGTCGGTTCGATGAACGCAACTCCCCACCCCTCCAGGGGAAGTAACAGTCATCACTGTAAATGATAATTATGGTTGCGTTCCTTCCTCCCCTTTGCATGGCCAATGGCCAACACCGTGCGTTTTGTCTTTTATAATGTTATAATCTTCTCTACTCACACAGTCGAACATCCATCGCATCTATCTTATATTATTATGGGAAAACCCGAGGACAAAAATGAATGAAACTTGGCTCACATGCCATGGTGCACCAACAGAATCGGGGTGGAAAAGTGCTGTAACAGTTATAATAATAATAATAGTAAATAGCATTATTTTATTATGTGTAGCCTAGCACAAATCCCCGCCCAACAGCAAGCTCTCTGCGCTTCACAATCTATACTTTTACCCCAGCAGCAGACCTGAGAGCATTCTGAAGCTACCCCAATTTGAGTTATGGAGTAAGTTTAAAGTCTAAGAGTAAAAGCGCATTCCTGCGTTTCATAAATCCGAGTTGATTACTTAGACATTCAAAAAATCATTAAGTTAAGGCTGGGTAGGTGCGTTGAGGGGCTTGAGCATGAAGTGAAGGGTATACATTTGTATTATTAGTAATATTAGCTTTTCGGGGTAAAACGCTATTCCCACCCCCTGCCCTTCCACAGACGCAAAAGGACATTAGGCCACATAGAATTGTGTACTTTTTCTCACTGGTAATAAAAGTACAATATGTAGGCTATAATAGATTATATAACACAGGAATTCGCTTCTATTTTTAGTCCAACCAGAGAGCCCGAGACAATCTGAAGAGTTGGCATAATTTAGCGAAACGTCACACAACAATGGCATGCACACCTATACCTATTCAACAGAATGTGTTTTGGGAAACATGTGAGCTCTGTCGTCGCGTTGATCTGTAGTCAATACATTACATTTAGCTGTGTAGGTTTTGATTGATACAAATTACTAGATCTACCACTTGCTCCTCTCACATGGTCAAAGTGTCCGGTTGTCTTACGGTTGTATATTATTATTATGTCGTATCTTCTGTATTTGACGGACGGGTGCGAAATTCTACAGCATTAATTGTTTTCTTGGCGCGAATCAGGTTAATAATACGGGGTGTCCACTTCGGCTGGATCGGGTCGATCGACCAACTCGGTTGCCTGAAACTGAAAACAAACACGTTTGTTTTTTAGGCGAACTAGTCGGTCGATCGGGCCCGTCTGTAGTGGGCATCCCGTATAAACCTACATCCAAATTGAACTAGATGAATGTCCGACAGAAAAGTCTGCTTCAGGACCCCCCCCCCCCCCACCCCCAAAAAAAAGAAAAGAAAAAAAGTAGATTACTGACAAAAAAAGTAAATCTGCTGCCCATGGGCATAGGCCTCAATTGCACTAACAACGCAGCCACACCCTGTCACCGGGTTTCCAACGTGTAGCTTATTCAAAGGAATCCTTTTATATAAAATTGTTGTCTACCTGGACGATTATCATCATTGCCTTTCTCATCCTGGATCAGGCTTAAACTTTCCACACTTTCCCTGTCCTGGGCCAGCCTCTTGGTATTATTCCACGTCTTACCACTTTTCTGTAGGCTCCTCTGTCCCATAAGATGGAAAAATAAATAAACGAGTGTGATTCGTGTTTTTGTAACTTTCTGTTTTTACAGGGTCGGATAGTTGGCCCTCCGCAAACTGGCACTTTTCGGGAGACCAGATCAAAGCACCAGTAGTCGCCTCTTGCGACAAGCAGTATCATGGCAAATGTTATTCTTTGCTTTCCTATAATAAAATAAATGATCCCCCCCCCCCCACGGCAACTACAATGGCAACATGACGAAATAATAGGCCCTATTATTATTATCATTGCACGATAGTGTTCGGCTCTAGTTTTCATCAACGCCTCAACTGGATTGATAAATACGTCTTTCGGAGATTGAAGTCGGCAAATCAGAAGCTGAATCCAGAGAAATAGGCCTGTGTTCTTCAGGTTTGTCCCTTCAGAGAGGGAAATCTTAATAAAAATATCCAGTCAAAGTCAAAGTGATACATGTACTCCAAAGTCAGAAATATATCCGAGAGTTCCTGGGCCTTAGCCTTCTGGATTCTGTTGCAAGTGGATTCGTGATTTCGAACTGTTGCTTCCCAACTGGCACAGCTGCAGAAAAAAACAAACCCATAGAGAAACTAATATTTTCTGCATATTTGTCTGCCATGCAACTTGCCAATCACCAATACGACTGGTTAATGATGTTTTGTGCCAGTACTATAACCGGTTTTGACCCCTTGAATAGAACACAGAGGGCGCTGTTCACCCTGGGAGCGATCTCGTTGAATCCGAGCTTGCTGATTTAAGTGTTCGTTGAATCCGGGTTATTTTTATTGATTTTAAAGAAGAAAAAATGGGGGAATCCATCTCCTTTCGTTGAATCTGAGTTCCACGGTATGATACGAAGTTGAACCGAAATCCCCAAGACTGCGTTTGGGCTCAACAAAAAAACTACATGTATAATACACGTGCGGGCATTAAGTACTATTATAGGCCCTACCCTTCAGATTTGGGAATGTTGTCTTAAGACTTGAAAAAGCTAAAAGGGGCCAGGATCAATAAGACGCCGAGCCCCCAGCATTCGAAAGGGCCTTCAATGAAATCTGTCAAAGTCAACGAATCACCCATCGAAAGCTTATCAAAAGAGTGCTGGAAGATGCAGCTGATCCTCAAGGATTTGACCCAAATGTAACCTTCAGCAACTGACTGAATGGATGTCCAACCCATTATATATATATATAAATATGAAAATGTGTGTGTGTGTGTGTTTATAATATTTATAGCTTCTAAGTTTTGAAAAGATTTCAGTTCATTGGTACACATACATGACGAAGAAAAACGCTCTTTTGTATTTTTACTCCAAGTTTAGGTGTTTCACGCGTTAAGACAGTCTGCGGTCACGACCCCAAACTCAAAACATCACCATTTTTCAAAGCCTCGGGAGACATAGCTCTAATCGCCGATATATGAGTGTGAGAACTTCGTCTCACTTACTTGAAGAAAGCAAATAACGTTCCGGCAGCTACCACTAATGACAATTAGAATGTGGTTGTGGAGAGATGTCACAATGCTCCACCATTTATCCTTCTGATAGCTGCTTCTCTTACACTACGTTGCAGTGGAATTCAGTTTCAATGAAAACTCGGATTTAATGAAAGGAGATATCTCCCCCGAATTTTTTATTTTTAGAAAATCAATAAAAATAACTCGGATTTAGCGAACACATCAATGAGCAAGCTCGGATTCAACAAAGTCACTTACAGTACAGGGTGATCTGCTTTATGCAACCAATCAACGGCCTCCTTTCATACCAACACACGCGTTGTTATCACGCTCTCGTGTCTTAGCGTGTGTCGGGGTCGGACGGGCGGCCAGCGCACGTATGACATGTGACTGTGTGTGTGTGTGTCTGGGGAAGGGGGGGGGGTACTAACGGTGCGGGCGTGGAATGTCAGTAGAGATACAAACACGACACAGTTACATGTACGTGTATTATTTTTTCCCCGGCTACTGATCAGTATTACAATGATGAGATTATCTTGACATGGATCTACGTAGATCTAATGGATTGCGGGCTTGACTGTAGAATCAAATGTTGCCGTCTGCTAGGCTCTACACAGCAACATAACTTGTTTGGCAAACAATACGATAGATAATAGATAAGATGACACGGGCGTGCATTTGAACAAATCAGCCCTCTTGCAGTCTGTGCTTATTGGTGCATGTATAGTTCAGCGTATTTTCCGGGAATTTTGCAGCAATTCTTGTAGTTTTCGTAATAGTTTTATGGCACTTGCAACACAATAAGGTCAAATAAGTGCAGAAGAATAGACATGTTACAATAGAGTGACATACACTGGTATAAAAAACACAAACAAAACGAAAATGCCTCTCATTAGAAGCCGAACTGCTTTTGATTGAGAAAGTTGAATACATGCTCGGTACCTGTAGATTACCAACACAAAAACCTCATATTTGCTATAACTTACGAACACTCGGATTCAACGAAATTGAAGGCCAGCTCGACGACTTCGTTGAATCTGAGTTCCACTGTACTATGTGATGATGTCCCGTGTACGCGAGTGTGAGTAAAGAAAAGTACAGTACAAAAACGGCCATATACCTCGGGCCTGGCAGTTCAGGTGAGCGGCTGGTTCGTTTTCAAAATCGTGGAGCGTTCTTTTGACCTATGTATAGACCTATATTGTAAGCCTATAGCTCAGTACACCCTGGTGTCGGTATGATGTGCTTCTTTTCGGACGCAAGTGTTACGTCTTAATCAATGTTGAGCAATGGGATATGGGACTTCAGAAAGTTAGACAATAGTAGGCCCTACGTTTTAACTGTATACATGAGACCTCTATCGAAGTTTTACTCTCTCTCTCTCTCTCTCCACACACACACACACACACACACACACACACACACACACACACACACACACACACACACACACACATACACACACACACACACGAGAGAGAGAGAGAGAGAGAGAGATAGAGAGAGAGAGAGAGAGAGAGAGAGAGAGAGAGAGAGAGAGAGAGAGAGAGAGAGAGAGAGAGAGAGAGAGAGAGTAGTGTGTGTACCATTGTACACGCGCATCCGTACGCGTTTGAGTACGACGTGTACGTAGTTATGGAGGAAGAGAGAGAGAGAGAGAGAGAGAGAGAGAGAGAGAGAGAGAGAGAGAGAGAGAGAGAGTTTACATACGGTATACACATGTACTACTGTAGCTTCTATAGGCCTACACTGTATTTTTTATATTGTTACGCGATTAGATCTAATGATGGTGCTCAATCTAAAAGCCCCAAAACTATTCTGTTCTCAAACTACCATGCTTTTTTTCTTTGACAAATAAAAACATCTGATGTCTCCTTTAGATAATAATGTATTATAATAGCAAACAGGATTAGAATCAAACAGTCAGTGCTAGGCTGCACGGGCTCTACAGCTCGGTCGGGCCACGAACAAACTTTACTATTAGATCTAGATTCTAGATCTAGATATATAGATTCTAGATCTAGCCCTGAATTTAGCCTAAATAGATTTGAGTTTTTTTTACCGAATATTTTTTTGCTCTTTTGCCTCGCGCTCATTATACCTAGAGAAGAAAAAAAAATCGAAAATGAGAGAAAAATCACAGGTGATAATTGTGATTTTGGAAGATAATATTATAATGTAACAGCATGGCCTCGGATTCAGAGCGACCACTGTTTGTACTAGCTCTAACTCTAAAGCACCTCGTTCTCTTGACTCTAGATTCTATACTCTTGAGTCTGAGGGTCAGTTCTTCAATGTTCATAATACATGATGGGAGCGTCGTCGGCATTTTTAGGATGAAGAGAAGGGCTGGGCAAAGATAATTCTTTAAAGCAGCAATATGACTGGACTCATACAAATGTATTATGTGCTGGAGAAAGGCCACAAATACACAACTTTATCTTCATCCTTGTCTGTCTTTCTTTCTTTTCTTTGTCTTTTTTGTTGTTGAAAATAAATCGTACAGACTTTAATTGTTTTCATACCTATGCAATTCTTCCAGCTTTTTATAACTATAGGGAAGCCATTATATTAAATATGTGAACCCCGTTTTTCGATTATCAATCATTCAATATGGCGGCTATGTAGTGTCGCTAGCAATGTTGACAACGCCAACGTTTTATCGTTATTATTCGCTTTAGAAAATGAAAAATCACACAATGCTTTCATCGAATAACATTTTCCACTAGGCAGTGTTAACATCGACAGTTAACAACTGCTTTAGTGGATGGACAAAACGGAATGAAGCATTTTTGGGGTCCCATCACGTATCGAAGACCAGTGTTTTGGTTTTGAGCAAACGAGCGCCTCCTGTGCCGCCTCAAGGGTACCGCAGGAGTAAGGATACAATCGCTCCTTTGTTTCAGTACGTTGTGTTCGGAAAGTAACTGGGCATTTTGTAACGATGGCTGATACCAGAAGGAGGGTGAAACTCTACATGCTGAACGAAGATCGTCAGTGGGACGACCGAGGAACTGGGCATGTTTCTTCAGCTTATGTGGAGAGGTTACGAGGGATGTCTCTCTTGGTCCGGTCAGAGACTGATGGTGAGGAATTATTCTTTTTATTGACTACTGTAATTACTCTCGTATGATGTATTAATATAGCCAAAGTGGTCACTGGAATGGGTGATCATCCCAGTTTGTGTTCCAGTTTAGATCTAAATGAGGGGTAGGGAAGATAAGTCAACTAAGTGTGGGTTCGGGGAGGGATTTTATCCAATTCATGTCTGAGATTTGTATAGGAATGAGATCATTCTAGATATCTAGAAGGGAGAGGAGCCAGCAGTGGATGTTCAGTTTAGTTAAAAGGACTTGACAGGGATAAATAAGCTTTAGATGGTTGAGATAAACTGTTTTCTGGGGAGGACTTCCGTAACGAGCGACCACTACTATGAGACAGCAGAACTAATTGAGGGCTAGGGGTAGGAGGGTTAGGGTTAGGCCTCTTTATTGTGTTTGATGGGGTGGCCGCTCGTTACGGCCGGAAGTCCATCCGTTTTCTGGGTAGAATCTTGATCTAATCTAGATCTAGATCTAGATCTAGACTAGATTGCCTAAGTATGTTGTTAGTAATTTTTTTGGTTTTTGTTTCAGTGAGATGCAAGTTTAAAAATTTTTTTTTTTTTACTGAACTTATATATTCATAATTCAGTGGAATACAGGCTGACTGTAGTAGTTTGTATAGGTCTAGTGCAGTAAAGTTGTGTTATAGTGAGTAATTGAATGAAGTTTACGTTTTCTATTATTTATGAAATTCTTTGTGTTCCATGTCCAAGTTGTGTTATTTAGAGTTTAGTTTAGAATCATATAGATCTAGATTCTAGATCTAGATTGTCTAGATATTCTAGATTTTGATCTAGATCTAGAATCTAGATCTCTATAGTCAATATATCTAGCCTACCTGTAATTGTAATAAAAAAAGAAAGCCTACTTCAGAAGGTTGGTATCCTTCCTGCCATGTGTTAATTTTCGAGAGAAGTGGTCCCGGCCTAACTAAATAGACATTTATACCTTATGTACTCAATCGGAAACAAAACCGGAAGTTGCCTTAAAAAAAGGGGGTCCCCCTGCCAAAACAAAAAAAGGGGGGGTTTAGGCCTGCTAAATTCACAAAATGATGGTTTGTGGCTGTTTTTAGTGCCAAAATTGTTCTCAGCACACTATGTTAGATACCGATTTCAGAATAGTGCCGAAAATAGATCTGTCTCAAAATGTTTGTCAGGCAACTCAGTCATTTTTTTTACTCGACTTTCGTTTTTTGTGTATAATGAATAATAATGTCTCTATAGAGTTAGGCTGGGACCACTTCTCCCGAAGACTGCCTAATTTTCCCCTGCAACAAGAGTAAGATAGATCAGATACATCTTTATTGAACAGATCCTGGCACATTGGTTTGGTGTTTCACCACATACGCTCATACACAACATGCACACACGCATGCAGACACACACACATGCACGCACGCACGCACGCTCACACACAGACACACACACACACACACACATACACAAGCAGGCTAACAGTCATGTGCATAATATAAATGAACAGTAATTGTATTAAACAATATTCTGACTGTAACTCAAATTTTATGCTGCAATTGCAGCTCTAAATCTGAATTCCTTTTTCGGCAATTTCCAAAGTCATTGAATCAGTGCTTAGTGACTGACATTTTGAAAAGTTTCTAAACTGTTATAAGTTATTAAAAAAACAACAACTATGAAAAGACAAGTCTTGTAAAATGAATAAGATTCTTGGACAGTTTTGGAATCCAATAATATAACTTCTCTCCATAGCTAGCAGATGAGAATAGGTTCAGTAGTTCAAACCCCTCAGAACGTTTTCCATTCCTGTGTATTTAAATTATTTTTTTTTAAATGGGATTATTTTACTTTCACACCTGTCTCATGTTCAGTTATTCTATCCCTCATTTCTTGTTCATTAATTCTATATGTCCTTTTCAAATATATTATTAGATTTTAAGATACTTGTTTACATTGATACTAATTTACCATAGGTTTAATTGCTTATCAGTATTTCGCTTATAATTTAAAAGTCAGGGGGGGCTACAAGGGGGTATCCTCATCATCATTGCCTTTCTCACCCTGGATCAGGATAGGCCACGAGCAAACACTTTCCACCTTTCCCTATTCTGGGCTAGTCGCTTGATGTCACTCCATGTCTTCCCACTTTCCTGTACATCTATTTCAGTGACTCTTCTCCAGGTTCCACGTTGTTTTCCCTCTTGATCTAGCACTTTCCTTGTTATGCAGCTGCTTGACTTCCTACAGGGGGACATACCCTTTGAAATAAACAAAAATCTAAAGGGTTGAAGGGGACATTCACACTGTATTATACTATAAAATATATTTTGCAATCAGGTTTGAGATTTTCTTGAAAACAATTGATTTCAATGGTTTTGGTGGCCATTTGTTGTTCTACAGTCAAAATTATGGCAGTTTAGCATGCATGCAGGTGTGAAAGTACCACCAAAAAATAGGTATGGAGGTAGGCCTATATGATGTTTAAGAATTGATTCCTGGCAGGACCTGGCGTGTCTTAAAAAAAAAATTGGTACTGTAAAGAGCTGTTGAGGGTCTGTTTTCAGAATTTAAAAAAAAATAGCTATACTTTTACCTGGCTTGCACCTTTATATATATTCATCTTTGTCACCCATATTTTTGAGTTTTTTCTTAATGTTTTCAAGTTCTAAGTCAGTTTTATTCCAGATCTGGCAACTGTCCAGAATTCATCCAGTTTTGTAGAATGTTATGGTACATTACTTTGTCGAAGAATACTGTCTTACTCGCAATAGTTGGAAAATTGAATGCCAGATCTTTTGATCACATGTTCTAGGCTTTGCCATGACAGGAAGATGCCTCTCTCAGCAAGTTATTCGACAAGAATGTTTTTCCAGCCTTTGTTCTTGTGATCATAATCTTAATGTTTGCTGAAAAAATGTCACTCTTACAAAAGTGAATTTTTGATTCATTGCAGGCTCAATATTGTTGGAATCAAAGATACAGCAGGACACAGCGTACCAAAAACAGCAGGTGACTTTCATTCCTTAGATTTTATGGGAATATTTTGAACGATGCCTGAAATGGAATTTAAATTTTTTAGTTTTAGTGCCATGAACGTTTTTAACAAATACATTTCAGTTTCTGCTCTCTTTGAAAAAAATATTGCTTATTGAGAAACATAGACCATTTTTCTAAAACACAAATTAAATATTTTAATGTTTAAGTACACAGTTTTTAAGTAGTCCATGCATGCAGTTGGATTGATAATTGAGTCAGAAAATATGGCTGTATCCCTTTAAGCGTCTCATGTTGATCTCTTTGTTGAATTACAGGAAACCCTGATTGTGTGGTCTGAGGCTGACAACTATGATTTGGCCCTGAGCTTTCAAGAAAAAGCTGGTTGTGATGAAATATGGGAAAAAATTTGCACAGTGAGTGTTTGTATTGTTATTTTGATTTAACAAAAATTGACTATAGAAAGTTTGAAGTCATTGTCTTTGTGAAGTAGCTATAAATTTGTTGAACTAAAAAACCAGTTGAATTTTAATTGACTAGCAGACTGTTATACAGTGTACAGTATTTTCTGAAGCTTGATCACGCTTTCGATTTAATATATTAGTTAAATTTATTCCTTTTTCTGTTTTTTAAAAATGAATTTGAAAATAGAGTTGTAATATATTTAATGCGTATATTTCAGGTGCAAGGTAAAGATCCAAGCGTTGACATAACTCAAGATGTAGTGGAAGAATCTGAGGATGAAAGGTTTGATGACATGCCTGATGCTGCCCCACCCATTGAGTTGCCTCCATGTGAATCCAGCAGATTAGAAGAAATTGCAGAGTTGTTTTCCTCGGTGTTGCCATCTCCAATTCGTCGGGAGAAACTAGCAGTTGCCATAGAGGCTGAGGGATACATTCGGAAACTGGTGGACCTTTTTCATATGTGTGAGGACTTGGAAAATGTGGACGGCCTGCATCATTTGTATGAAATTTTTAAGAACATATTTCTTCTGAATAAGAATGCATTGTTTGAGATCATGTTCTCGGATGATATTATATTTGATGTCATTGGTATCTTGGAGTATGACCCCACCTCACCAGTGCCAGTCAAACACAGAGAGTACCTGCGCAACACGGCCAAGTTCAAAGAGGTACGTGTATATTGCGGGTGTAGAAAATACTGTAACAGTATCTGGTTTGTTGTTGTTGTATATGTCAAGGGTTTTTTTTCTTCTGTTCATAAAGTATATGAACTGTCTTCTACAATACTGCAATTTATGTCTCACAGAAAGATCAAGGAGGTTTGTTTTGCTTTCTATTTTGATTATGGAGGGGGTTGCTTTCTCTCATATTTTTTTCTTTGAAGAGACAAATCTAATTTCTGTCCTTGTACCTTGTTCCTTGTGAGTTCAATAATTTTATGCGTCCCCATTTACTTTTATAGATGGTGCCCCCCTGTGTCTGGTCCTAGTTTCTGTATTCTAGTGATATTTCAATTGTTGCTTTCTTCCCCAGCTTTATTGTTGAGATTTGTTTTTTCTGGTTCTAGATAACCCCTAAAATAAGATGTTTTGTTCATGGTATTCAAAGGTAAAATTTCATAGGACTTGTCCTTACGATGTATGTTCTAATAATAATTTTGTCTTCCACTGAAATTTGAAGAACAGAATTTTGGCAAACATGATTTGTTGTAAGACTTAAACTAGTCAAAAGAACAGTCTGACTCAGATGGAGAAATACAACACAAATGCCTTGGATGGCAATGTTTTTGAAGGGTAGTTGGGCTAGGTGGTAAAATGAAGCTATGGTGAAAATTTCTGTGTTTACCATTTTTTATATTGAAGCAAAATGACGAGTACAACTAGGATTTAATTTATCGCTGTTATCTGGAAAATGTGAACAATGATTAATCCTAACACAACATTTTCTGGTTGGTTTTGTAAGGTAAGAAATGTATTCAGACTATTTTTCTACATACTTTAGTCCAGCTGGAATAGGTTGCATGAGACATCCTTGAGATGTTGCTTCACTAATGACATATGGTGTAGCATGAAGTTTCAAATTGCACACGAGACACTGACTACTTTTAAAATAGAATTTCAATTGATGTCCTGCACCTTTAGGGCCATAAAGTGTAGTTTTTGCAGTTTCCTCACTAAACTGCTCAAATGCATATAATTTTGGTGAATATTTCCAGTCTTTGGCTACTATTGCAAGTCCTATTCTATTGTCGCCTGCAAAGGATTGTTGACTGGTTAGATGACATTTTTTTCTGTGTTTCAGGTTGTACCCATGACCAATTCAGAGTTGGAAACGAAAATTCATCAGACCTATCGAGTACAGTACATCCAAGACGTAATCCTACCCACACCATCTGTGTTTGAAGAAAATTTGTTGTCTTCGCTCACGTCCTTCATTTTCTTTAACAAAGTGGAAATTGTCAGTATGATACAGGTATGATTGTTCTGACAGACTTTTAACTAATTGTTTTGCCGGATGTAAATGCATTGTGTTTATTTCTGTAATCTCTGATTTTCTTCATGCAAGGCTGACAGGTTTTTATAGAAGGTAATATATTTTAACATGCACTGCTTTAACCACTGTAATGATTTCTTTTTACTGCTATGCTTTTCTGGAAAATGCTAATTCATAAGTACAGTAACAATTTGTTTTGGAAGAAATATGTGAGGCACTCGTCAATATAATGAAATGGAAGAAACTGTCATGGTTAAGCAATTTTAATAGAATTTTTTTTCTTTCTCAACACCATTTCAAAACACATTTCTGTGTGGATTTTACTGGAAGAAAGAAAAACGTTAATTACAGGTCGGTTTAGTGTAAATTTTCAGTTTTAAAGCATTCTTAAGTTGTAGAAGTGACCAAACTTAGGCAGACATTTTCTCGTTAATTTTACTTCTGAAACTAGGCGATCCCTACATCCTTAAATCGCAAATATCTAAACTTTTATTCATGATCGATGGGTATTTTTTTTTTCAACAAAAGCAAGACAAATAAACAAGCTTTAAGATGATACCAATAACTCCACATGCCCCAAAATTGATGAGTGCCTCATCATGTTGCATATAGTTCAAGAAAGAAATAAGGACATGATTAGACGCAGCCTTTCTGAATTTTGATAAACAAAATGAAAGCAAGAGGATAGTTATGATAGATGATCTTGTAAAGGAATATAACGAACTTGTGATTTTATTATGATGAATTGTTGCGTAAGAAGACCATTTTTTTTATCTGGTCGTATGCTTTGGTATGATTCTGATGGCTTGGGGGTTATGCTATAGCAGGGATAATGCTTTTTTTGTCTGTTTCAGGATGATGTAAAGTTTTTAACCACGCTCTTCACCCAATTGACGGGGGAAGAAACAGATGATAATCATCGCAGGGATCTCGTGTTATTCCTCAAAGAGTTCTGTACATTTTCACAAACATTGCAACAGCCAAATAGAGAGTCGTTTTTCAAGGTAAGAGTTCATCATGCTTATCTTTCTTATCTGTAGCCTCTGAAGTTGAATAAAACCTTCATCTGTGGCCTTCATAGTGTTGCCAACGGACATACTGGGTATATTATCTGATTGAATTAAATGTTGGAGGATCAGTTGTGAGCCTTAATGAGCATGCAGTGACACATATTTGAAGACAAATTTTAGTCTTTGAATGGTGTGTAAAGTATTAAGTCCAGGCTTGTCAATTGTCGTGAAGTTCTCGGGACTGTCACGGATGGTTATCGTAAATTTGGGGGCCTTTTCACATGCACCAAAAGCAGTCTTACTTTATGTAATTTTGTTTTTAGGTAATCTGAAGTTATACGGGTGTCCCTGATTGTGTTTTGAAAAGGTGTGCAAGTCCGATTAGAACTGCATAATTTATTAGACAGTTTAAAAAAATGAATGTGTCTGTTGAAATTATGCCCTGTAGCGTTTTCATTTGCTGATTGTTATGAAAATGATTAAAATTTAATTATTCTTTATCTGTATTGCAGACATTATCGAATCTGGGAATACTGACATCAATAGAAATCATTCTGGTAAGCAATGAGTAAAAATAGTTTGAAATTCTGTATAAGCTTTTCATAGATTGAGAAGAATTCATATTTATTTATTTTAATTTTATTGTTTTATTGCTTAACATAACAGTTGGCCTCCTTGGTTCATTTGTTCCAAACTTTTTTTTTTGGTACTAAAAGAAATGAAAAGGGCTCAAAGTGATGCCTGTACTGTCCAATGCTGGTGTAGTGCACCACCACCAAGTCCTGTTTTAGCCATCTGGAGGAGTGCTTAATTCTGGAGAAAGAAATTTCATTAACTAAACTTCACCTTCCTAGCGGTCGTCTAAACCACTGCCCATCATACTGGTAGTGAATTGTAGAAGTATTTATGTTGTAGTCAGAATTACTCAAATTTGGTTGGGAGTAGTCAGAGGTGGCTTTCACCATTGTGGTCTTTCCTTTTTTATGTTACTACTGTAGTAGCTTGTTAATGGTGGGTTTTTAAATTTTTTTGGAGGAGAGTTGAAAAGCTTTGAGCATTATAATTGAAAGCTGAAGTTTTTTAAAAAGGTTTTGACATATTCTAACTTGAATGTCTTTGTTTTTCAGGGTACTGATGATGAGAAAATGAAGAATGCTGCCATTGACATATTTTCCTTCATTGTTGAATTCAGTCCGTCCATGGTGCGAGAGTTCATTCTCAATGAGAGCATTAGTGTGGATGATGTAAGTATTTTTTGTGTGACCGGGTGATGGGTTGTCTTTTTAAAATCCTTTTGAGAGCAGTGTGTTTTTAAACTGTCAGGTAAAGAATGTTTTAACAGTACATTGCTCATCAGTTATATGGTATTTGGCCCCACATGAAAAGTAGGGGTACATATATTTTAAGATGCATTTTTCTTTTGGATGCATGTGGATAAGAAACTTCAGGCCCGAAAAGCGGAGTTGTAAAAGAATTTTGAATTACTTTAATACGTTCGGTAATGTACTCAAAATTCAGGATTCAAACCCGGGACATATTGAATGAGAGGCGAACACCGTAACCTCTGGACAATGAAAGCCTCAGCGTCAAGGTTTACAAAATATAGATTTGCACAATGAATCTCAAAACTTGGAAACCAATTAGTCATAATAATTTTCTTCCACAACATTTTTTTTTTTTTTAGCTTTGATTATGCGTGTTATATGCGCCCTGCTGGAATACAGTAATCTCTTCCTAAGATCCCTGTGCTCGGGAGCAAGGAAAAACGGGATCTTAGCCGATGGAAGAATAAAAGAATCAACGGTGGCCCATCTTTAGGCTCACAAGTGGTAAAATGGTCCTCCTTCACTCTAAACTGAACTGACCTGGCCCTGGATGGGTTTATGACTTGTAGCAGGCAAAGAGTGGTCAACCTTGATGACCAAGCGCAGTGGTATGAGACATGGCATTTTCACTTATCCCTCCCCTTTACGTGTCTAAAATTTATAGCTTTCCATCTCTGATCGGGTTCCCCCATTTTTGTCAGTTCGCACCATTGTGTTGTGACCATACCAATTAAAATTCAGTCGGTCTCGCAAATTCAGAAGACAGCTGCGGCAATGGTCAGGGAAGAGTTCATAGTTTGTTGTGATCCCACCTGGTGCGAACTTGAAGGACCTACCCACCCAGCGTGTGATGTAAGTTTGAGTGGAGAGCTCAGATGCGAGTGGTGTTTGGGGAAAACAAATGCGTCTGCAAGTTCACACATTAGTGTGACCCCGTCTGGAACAAGGATTTACAATGCACATGTTATTACATTCACGAGAGTGGCTGATCTATGACGCAACGGGCAGTTCAATGATTGCAAATTTTCACTCTGTCTTAGTTGATGTGCTATGCCCTGCCTGATTTTTTTCAAGTAAATTATGATTTGAAATGCAGGATCTTAGCTGAATGTAGACCTTCAGAGCAGGATCTTAGGGGTGACTTTTGTATAGTAAAAATTCTGTTTTCTTAAAACAGAGGGATTTTAGGTGAACTTTGATCGGAAGCGATGGGATCTTGGGCGGAGACTACTGAAGTGTAGATCTAGACAAAGGTAGATGGATTGAGCAGTATTGGTGATATTCCAAACAGGGTTTACAGAATATGTAGGCCAGGCTAGTGTGAAGCCCTGTTGAAAAGTTTTGCGAGTTATTGTTTTTATATATATATATATTGTATAATTGTCTCATCAATGTTTTCTTTGCTGTTGCAACAGGAGGATCTTCTGATCAACTTAGTCATTGAGCAGATGATCAATGACTCGGATCCAGGTAAGTGCTCAGCATTGTGCACCTTGTACAATTTTGTCCATGTACTTTTAGGGTATGTGAGCTTAATAGCTGTCTTCTCTCCTTTGATGTTTATGTTTATGTCTTGGTTTTTTGTACAAATATGCTCTGTTCATTGATAAAATTGTGGAGAGATTGTAGCCAACAAAATGTGGGACAAGATAAAAGACTGACTGTGAAAGTAGAACTTTTTTTTGCGTTCTGATTTTCACTTTTTTGATAGTGATACGCACAAATAATGCAGTTAACATGACTGTTTATCGGTTTGTTGCTTTTATGTAGGAAACCCGCGTTCAGTCGGTGACAACCTTCCGGGCGGAATGAGTCAAGATATGATAGTAACTAAACTTTGAATACATTTTTGAGCCCAAGTAGTTTGGAAAATTTTAAGACCCGTTGTTCCATTTTGTATGTGTTAAAAGTAAGGTTAAGAGTGCATTTATTATTTTGTAGGTATTTCTTAAATAGTAATAATTTTGATGAAATATCCATTTTCTATTTTCAGAGCTGGGCGGAGCTGTTCAATTGATAGGCATCTTGAGGCTTCTTCTAGATCCGGAAAACATGTTAGCAACTGCCAGTGTGAGTTGTTTTTGGATTGTTCTTTCAACTTAGACGGGAAAAACAATGGGATAAAATTATCTTTTGGGGAAAAAAAGTTGTCTTCAGTCAACAATTAAAAAGTAAAAGGATGAAGTTTCATCTTCTTGAGCATAACTGACTTTGCCAGTTGCTGCAGTTGGTTGCACAGGACTATCAGTCTATTAATTAATATTTTTACAGATTTGACACCGAGTGTTCTTATAATAAGGTTCCAATGGTTTATCAACCTTGACTAATCATGTGCGGAAACGAAACAATATTTATTTTTTTGTGGGAATTTAATTTATTTCTCTCATCTTTTATTCCTCAGAAAACTGAAAAATCAGAATTCCTTAGCTTTTTCTACAAGCACAGTATGCATGTGTTGACAGCGCCACTGTTTGCAAACACTGCAGACAACAAACCAAGCAGAGGTAAGATAGTCTTGTTTGATATATATAAAACCCAAGTTTGTGTAGACTGCATGGATTTTTGTTTTCCTCAATAGTCAGAGTTTTATAGAGAGTGCAATACCCAGTTTATTCACTAGCACACGGGCAGCATCAAGTTTCTGCTCCTTTTCTTGTACGATCTTTGAATTGTGGCGGGAGCATTGTTCAAGGTCATGGTTGTTCTTTCTGTTGTTGCAGCGAGTGTTCTTGAGATATCGTCATTTTGGTTTCTGATTAAAAAAAAAAGTCTTAGTAATGTTGTTTCTTTATCCTTGCATAGTGTGCCCTTTCCCTTTTCCAACACATGTACTCATCTGATAAATTCGCAGATATTCTTTAGACTCCATTAGAATGCTAGGGAGCTGGCCGTTGTAAGATGTTTGAGCATCGCAACTGTTGTCATAATTGGCTTTTTTGTAATAACATAACCATCAAGACAGTGTTTTTCTTTTTAAGTGTCAACCCTAGTTTATGTTCTTGCTATGATGCTATTTCAAGCTGAATTTCGAAAAAGGAAAAGGATTCGCAGCTTTCTATTTTCTTTTTTTACATCCAGCAAAGTTTCACTGTTGTTGCAAACAAAGTAACGAGGCAACATGATCATACCCCACACCATTGCTGGTAGCCACATCACCTTGATTCTGAAAAGTTCCCACTTTTCCCCGAACAGATGACTACCAGAGTGCCCAGTTGCTGGGGCTCATACTGGAGCTGTTGACGTTCTGCGTGGAGCATCATACCTACCACATAAAGAACTACGTCATCAATAAGGATGTGTTGCGGCGAGTGCTGGTCTTATTGAAGTCTCGGCACTCCTTCCTTGTACTTTGTAAGTACTGTACAACCTTGACATTGCCTCATTTATGCAGTTGCGAGCGCCGTAAAACCTTTACTTTAACTAGACTGACATTGCCCCATGCTCATTCTGCAATGAGCCGAATAAGTTTTGGGAGGTGATATGTCATTGTCAAATCCTGTTGTAATCCCTGGTTCATGTTTTAGTCTCGTGGTAAGGAAGAATAAAAAGAAAAAATGAATTTTTTTCCTCATTGTTTTGAAAACATTAAAAGACCTCATAATATGTGGAAGGAGTAGGAAAATTTGTGACTTCATATTTAAGTGGAGACACTACAGACATAAATTAACCTTTTAAATGTACAGTGGAAACAGTTTTGAGTGATTTTCTTGTGATAAAGGGGTTAACCAAGATATTTTGATGAACTGTTCAGCCTTTCAGTCCCATTTATTTGCTACTTTGGATCAGATTTGGGTCTCAGGCTTGTAAAACGATATTATGTTTATGAAATTACTCACTTCCCTTCAATACAACAATCTGCATACTAAATTTGGTTAATTCTAATTTGAAGTTTTAAAAGGTGCATTTGTTGAAGATATTGCTGTCACAGTCAAGAAAAGTCCCATTTCATTAAAAAAGATCTTTTCATTAAAAACCTCTCTCGGGCTCAACACTTTTAGTACAAAGAAATCCCTCTGAAACTAGAAGCACCAAACAAACCCTTTCAAATAAACATCATGTACAGCCTCTGAGACTGAAATCTTAGATTTTGGAAATTCACCATCGTATCCCCACCTTCTAGAAAAGTAACATGAGAAAATGAGAAGAAAACGTTTGTATGGCTTGTAGATGTTTTGATGCAAAAGCTAGTTTTAAACACGTTAAGGGATAATTTAGTCGTAATAAGCGTTCAGAAAAGTGAAGACCCCTAAGCTGTTTAGACCTATGTTAATCCCTTTTCTTTTCATTTTGCGGGTTTGGGACTTTTTTTATGTGTCTTTTGTAGGTGTCATTAATTTCTTGTTTCTTTTAGGGTGGGTTTTTTTTTTACATATATGTACTTCTTTGCAGTTTAAACCTTGATTGGTTAAGTCATTCAATATATTTTTAGATTTAGATATGTCCGGCCAGAAGATAAATGTGAGGTTCATTGTTCTGGTTGAAGTGCAAATTGTGCTCAAATTGACGCTTATGTCCCAACTATTACAGGTGCCTTAAGGTTTTGTCGGAAAATTGTCGGATTGAAAGAAGATTTCTACAATCGTTACATCATCAATGAGAACTTGTTTCGGCCCATCGTTGATGCTTTCCTGGCAAACGGTGATAGGTATAACCTGATCAATTCTGCCATGATTGAACTCTTTGAGTTCATCACATCGGTGAGTCAATTCAGATTTTGGTTCAGAAATGAAAAAGCAATTGTTTTTCATCATTCTATTTGATCTCTAATGAATTTTTTCATAAGTCAAACAATGTGAGTCTGCACGTTTGAATTGTGGTAGGGAATCTAATTCTTTGGTTTGGTACTACCTGTAGGCAGTAGTTATTGTAAGAAAGGCTATTGAGGTAGTTGTTTGTTCCTGTAAATGTTTATTTTTAAATTGCTGATTTTAAGACGTCAAGATACTGCAGTAACTATCGTTAAAATTTTAACAAACTGGACTCCCTGTGCTTCGTTTTCTATCTGCTGCAATTGTATTCTCTCTATGTTGACAGAACTGCTTGTGTAGAATATGACCCTGAGTATTGGCCATACAGTATGTGTCTGACTTAGGGTAACAGGACAAGGTAGCAATGCCAATCGGGCTTTCCCGCGAGGCGAAAATTTGGTCCCCGTTTACGGGCGATTTTGCGGACCCGGCCGAAGCGTAGGTGACTAACTTTGTCAACCTTGGTCTGCTCTATTTCCGAACCAATCCGAATGAAACTCGGCACCCAATCAGAAAATAGGGCAAACTAATGATATGTGGACGTTGAAGTTCGTACACATAAATTAACCTATACTTTTGGTGTCGGAAACACTTTCGTATCGTGTACACCGAAAACTATAAGGAGTTTGAATTTCAACGCCCAGATGGTAATAGATCTATCTATCCTCTATAGTGTGCTCAAATTTGAGAGTTCTGTGTCAAGCAGTTGTTTAGACCCGATCGTAAATCTACGACTACCCCCCTATCCAAAGCGGCTTCGCACGGAGACCGGCAATTTTCCCCTCACTCTCGTGGCAAATGTATGTGACCTACAAATCCCCGCATGACTATTCCAGGCCCGTTAATTGGTCACTTGAAATAGGGCAATGGCGGGCGCGCGCATCCGGTTGTTTTTCTCTCTATTCCCCTGTAACATCGCAATGGGGGTATTCCGAGGCGAGGTTATCTCGTCTCCGGGTGTTCGCGTCTCAAGGGGGAAAAAGAATTTTTAATTGTACGGCATGCTAGATTGAATTAAATTATCTTTTACGGTTGGCATGGTCTAAAGTCATCATAAAAAGCTTTGCAATTATTTAGTCACGCTGCCGACATATATTCTTAAAGATCCCATGTTGTGATACGATGCTATAAATAAAATGGACTCATCTCGACACCCCTTTTTCGCAAAATCGTAATATGTACACCACAATTTTAATTATAACAAAATAACTACGAAATTGGTAGTAAATCTGACTGCAGAAATGATTTCTACACTCAAAAACACATCAGGTAGCCCAGTTTCTCTCGAACACTCGGATTAATTACCGAGATATCGTCGATTTTCATACAGAATCTGCTACTGCGTGGTCCACTTTTTAGGAGTATTTTCCTATATGTGGGTCATCCATATTTTGCCGACCTTTACAACCCCATAACTTTTTTATTTATGAACCGATTCTCAAAATTCAAGAAGCATAATTATTAGAATTGAAAATTCTTTCTTAGGTACCAAAAAAAGGGGGGCAAAAGTGAAAATTTAAATTTTCATTGGCATTGCTAGACAAGGTGAACGTAACATTTGCTGTTTGACGTCTGGTTTGATACTTTTTAAAATTCTTTTTGATTGGCTGTGAATGCATTTTAAAAATTTATTAGTATATCTCTTTCCAACACAAGTCGCTCTTAGCAACCTGATCATATCTGATAAGAACATTTCTAGAAAAATAAAAATGTTAACATATAATTTCTTGTGTATCTGTTCTTGCCATTGTAAATCTGAAGCTTTAATTAAATTACTTTTGTGCAACAGCTTTTTCAAGCTCCCTGAGAAACACCTAGCGATGATATTCACAAATTGATTTTGTTTTTCAGGAGGACATCAAATTATTGAGAACCTACATCGTTGAAACTTTCCAGAAGGAGTTAGAGGGAATCAAATATGTCAAAACATTCGAAACTTTGAAACTGAGATACGAACAGCAGAGAGAAAAGAACAGAGACAAACATCCGTTCGAAAGGTGGGTACTCAATGTAAACATGCCAGCCATAAGACTATTACTGTAGATTGATGGTAACGTCAAGTGATTTTTTTTTTTTTTAATATGATGTATGTAGTATTTTGTGTAATTTAAAACTTTTCGTTTGTTCATTTGCTCATATTTTTCTTCTTCCACACATACCATTTGCATGAGCCACGCTCGAGAGAAAGAGCAAATGAGTTGTCATTGTTCACTTATCATTTCAAATTTCACTTGTCAGACATTGATTTTTTTCCTGATACATTTACTCTTTCCTTTCGCTCCCATAGAAAAGTTACACCAATAAAACTGAAAAAGGCTGCTGGAAAGCGAAAGTGGTCAGATTTTCAGGTGTTGGCTGAAAGTGATGAGGAAGAAGAAGATGATAGCAATCGGTATATATTTCTTCAGTAAAAAGACCTGCCAACTGTTTGTTTCCAAATACTTTGATTTTTCCATTCTACTTTTGCACAGCCTGTCACATGCATATTTAAAAAAATAAAAGAACAGTTTTAGAAATTAAAGATTAAAATGAAAACTTTTGTGTTTGTAATGTCAAGAAGCAACTATATTTTGTTGTCCTTTGTATTTAAAAGAAGTCACACAGTAACGACTCAACTCAAGATTATGCTGTCAAGGAATTTAACTTGTTTCATATTTCCTTACTCTTGAAATTTATCAACTCTATGAGGTTATGAGGACCATCAGTGATTTGAATTAAGCCAAAGAAAAAGAAAAATTGATTGAAAAGCCTCGACCACCATTCCTTGTTGTAAATTTGATTGTACTTTTTTCAAGAAAAATGAACCACAAGGTCTGAAATCTACTTCGGATAGCTTTAGTTGTTCCCCCTATAGAGTTTGAAACGAAGCAGCAGATTGAATGACATAGAGTCAAATGCATTTTGTAAGGAAGCCTTTTGTAAGAAGCATAAACATGATTGTAATTGATGATCTTTTTTGAACATACCCTTTGTCTTCATTTCTGTTCATTTTAACACACCATAGAATTAGCACAGCGTAGAGTTGGCAGGTCTTGTATGTTTGGTTTGCCAGTTAACACTGTGTTCCTTGTTGTGGCTGGGTTATTTATTTTTTTTCTTGTTTACTTTTTAATTTTCGCTTCGATATCTTGGATTTGTATAATAGTCATGATTCACTTTGAATAACCCCATAACAAGCAATCAAATACATTTATCGTGAAAGTGCGCTTGTCACAATAGCCACAGATATAGCAAGTTGTAGTGGCTTATGCTACTGGCAGAGGGCTTTGTACAGGGTCACAGGAAATCTCTTTTTTTAGCACTGTCCCCTTCCTGAGAAATACAGTTTGCCATTTTTTTTAGTACAGTGTCTCATTTGTGAGAATATGCCTAGTGAAAAAATTGTAGATAAATGGTTAAAGTGACTGATTTAAAACATTTTTCCAGTCAATGGTCTTCTTGTCAGTGCTTATAAAATGATTTTCTTGGAAAACAGGTTTTGGGTTACTTGTTTTTTTTATTTTAAAGTTTAGATTTGCTGCTATCATATGCACTTTCCTGCTCATATTATAGAGAATAGTTGTGTTGACTTATTTCTGCGTACAGTAAAACATTGTCCCTTCATAATAAAGAAAATTGATTCAGATCTCGGTTATAAAGAGAATTCAGGTAATCCCTCTTTATGTTCACTGCAGTGGACTTCATTTGGGCTGCATAAGTATAGAAAGCTAGTTCATTTTTGTGAAAATAAAAATAAATAAGAAAGCACATTACTCTCACAATTGAAAAGGCGCAGTTGCAGTGTGTTGCTACATGCAGAATATATTTTTATTGGGTCTGGAGGTGTTTGTCCAAGTTACCGCCCAGTACAGTACAGTGTTGTGTGTTTGTTTTTTTGTTTTTTTTGTGTTCTGAAGTTGGTAAACCTTTTCTGTGTGTGAGATCTTTGTAAAAAATCTGGCTAGTCAAATTAGAGACTTATGTGGGTCACCTGCTGAATAGAATAGCCATTGTGCACTTGGATCGGACAGTAACACAGTAAAATGTTTTCATTTATGATGGCTCTTGTCAGATTGTCTTGTATATGCAGGTTTTTTATTTTTATATTTTCAATCTTAATGAAAGTTGAAATGATATGGGAACATTACATCTTGGATAAAGGAAGTGTTAGCAATTGCTTTATCTTAATTTCTTGTCATGTAACAAAAATGGTTTTGTTTTAAATACGTTTTTCTCATTTCGCTACGGATGAATTGGCTCTATAGTAGTGTTGGACGAGCCCTTTCACTTATTTTTTTGGAATTATATTCATTTAACATGATTAGTACAAAGTTGTCTTAATTGTTTGAGCCATGAATTACTTGAAGCAAATTTGGAAGTTTGTGTTCATTTGGATTCAGGATGGCCTTTTCCACTTTTTTGTGTATACACGCACAGATCATATAACATAAACATATATGGTTGCTGTGCTCAAATAGTGATTAGTGACTTTAATGGGAATTGGAAAGCTTAGTCCTGTTTCTAGAAAGTAGATTTTGTCTGCTTTTTCGTAAAATAAATTGATCTTTGAATAATATTTAAATACTGTTGTTTGGGCAATATCAGAATGGTTTGTTGTGATTGACGATTTCCATTATTTTAGTTATAGGCACCCTTTATTTAGTAAACAGTTTAGTAATTTTTTTTTTCAAAATTTGAAAAAAGTTAATTAAAAAAGAAGGGGGTTTGATATTTGCTTTTGCTATTTTTCTCATAGTAAAATTTGCATCTGCACTTTTTTGTAGTGGTGGATAAACGTGCACTGTGATTTTTTCCTGTTTTTGTTTTTTGGCCTGTTAATTTTCAATAGGAAATTAAATCTGTAAACCCACCAGTTGCTCATTGGTGCAAGGCTGTATGTACAACAAAATATTTAATGCAATATGGGGAAACTATAGGGTTTTTTTTTCTAATTCTCTGTCCGAATTCCATAAGACATTTCTCTCTCGCAATTTAGTGTAAGAGATGCTGCTTATTTTCACTTAAGAACTTGTATTACAACTGATTTTTATGAACAAGAATTTAGTATTATATATTTTCAAGTTATGTTTGTTTTGAACTTGTGAGCATCAGATTTAAATTACCCCCCCCCCCCCCCCCCCAAAACTCAACTGTGTTTGACTCATATATACGTACATATAAATCTGTAAAAAATCTGATGTCTTTTCTTTTTCCTTTCTTTTTTGGTGTTTTTTAGCCATGCAGCTTCAATAGTGCGCAACAATCGCTTCCGTCGAGATGCAAGAGCCCCTGATGAGGATGAGGAAATGTGGTTCAGTCAAGACGACGAGAATGAAGACAATGACAGTGCTCCTCAGGTATCAGAGCTCTTGAAGAGCAAGATGGAGTCCGACCTGGATCACATACACAAGCTGTGGGAGAATAAAAAAGGTGAGATTTTTTGTTTAAATTTTAGTCTAAACTACTTTTTACACCCTTTACGCTTTGGTTTAGCAGGTGTTGAGCATGGCTCTTTCAGTCTTCTGTCCTTGAAAAAATGAACTGTTCTTAGTCATGTTACTTACCTATTTCTTGTTTTAGTTGAAAATTATGTGGAAGTATTTTGTGAATTGTTAAAGATGTTCCCTGTGAGGAAATGGAATTTAATTGTTGCTGAGTGAATGAACTCTCCCTCATACAATCTTTCTTTTTAAGTTCACAAGGAATCGTTTCCCTCTCAAATTGTTCTTTGAAATTCATGAGGACTTAAAATCATGAACTGAATCTTTTGATCTGTGTCACTGATTTAATTCATGGTTTGGGGACTAAAGTCTCATAGAACGACATAACCATGGTATTTTTACAGGGAGGCGGAGGTCCTCAGGATTCAGGGAGTCTATTGGTGCTATTGCTGGCTTGTCTAAGACATTTCACCTTCCGTCTTCTTCCCGTTGTAGGCATTTTGGTGACTTTTTTTGATTGTGTTCTTTGTGTTGGGATGATAACACATATGATTCTGCGGGTTCGCAAGTTGAAGCGTAGCTGCCACTTTCCCGCTAAATAGAAATAGCGGAAACTCCGCTTCATCTAGCTTTTCCCGATATTTTCCTCCTTCCTCCGCTGGACTGCTCTCGCTTGCAAATTGCGATACTTTTTTTACACGCAGAAAACACCGAACCGGGAGAGAGACGAAAACGCAGCTTGCACATGTCCGCCCATCCGCCCGTAGCTTTCTACTTCCGTTCTTTCAGGCCTAGCGCTAGTTTCACTTTGTTTATTGTGGAGCAACAAAGTGTCGATCGGGCATCGGGTCGTTAGCGTGCCGAGTTGTCATTGAAAACGGCGGAAATTCGAGAGAAATTGATGCAGAATGCAAATATAAAAGGAGCTCCGCTTGCTGCACTTTGCGTTTGGTGCGATAAAGAAATCGCGACCCGCCGCACTCCAGTACAATTGCGGTCCCGTTTGTTTACATGACGGCTATTGTGGCTGTTGAGGTGAATCTAGATCTAGATAATCTATTTCTGGATATAATCTAGATTTACACATATTTAGATATCTAGATTCTAGATCTAGATTAGATAGCCTAGGCTATAATTTTAATTCAGGTTAGATCTACACACTACAGAGGGACTAAGTTGAGTGCAAACGGGGCTGCAATTGTACAGGAGTGCTCAGTACAGCGGCAAAGGTGTTGCCTCCTTGATCCAATACTGCGCGCGCTGTACATCGATGTACACGTTTAAAGTGAAAGAACTCCTTCTATAAGACACCAGCTTGCAACAAATACTGGATTTTTAGTCACCAAGTCCAAACTGTGTCAAATTGACTCAAATGCTTGTTAGTTTAGTCTACTTAGTGCCTGTGTTGGGTTTTTTTTTTTTTTTTTCCAAATACATTTTAATTCAGTTGCCTATGGTTAACAAATATGACAGTTTTTCCCTTCCAAAAACCATAGGCTAGATTTTCCAGTATATATTGCCTCTGGATCTCACTGGTTTTGTCCTGGCCTTCGGAGAGCGCGCGTCCGCCTTTGCATGAATTTCCTCCTTTTTTGAAATTCCTGAGTGGCAGCTATGGTTGAAGTTGCCATATTTTCTACATTAATTCTCTTTTTAACAAAACTTACCTGTTTGAATTGAATCGTTGAATCAGTTGGGTTTGTGAAGGCTGAGAAATTAATTAAACGAAATTCTGATAACGCATACTTCTTTGCTGAGAGCGAACCTAGAGCTCAACAGCTGTGTGAGAATGATTGAAGGTGTTGCTGACAATTGTTGGCGGCATCAGTTGCTCTAAGGCGTACTATCCCTTTCTTTCTAATGGTACATTTTATTTATTTATGGTTCCAAGATAAAGATCGAAAATAATTGTAATATGTTGGCTTTCCTTAGCTTTTCTTTTTTCTTCTTTTTAAAAAATCTAATCTTGATAGGCTGTTGCAATTCTACCCCTAGTTAGATCTCTGTTAAATAATTAAAGATTGCTACTGAATTTTAAAATAACTTTGAATAAACATTTTCACAGTGTTTAGAACTAATATCAAAGGAAGAATTATTGACCCTTGTTGAGATTTCAAAATGTAATTACTACATTTGTAATGCACCCTCACATTTTCTATCCTTGTGAAAAACATTTGATGCCTACTGTTCTGATTTGTTTTTAATTGGAAACTGATTTGTTGGGTAACTCGACTTGCATGTTGATTTGAGAACATTCTTGTTGCTGATCAGATTTCTGTGAAGATTTCCGTTTTGATAAGACAATTTCTTAAATGGTTCAATTTGAAGTTAAAAAAAAAAGTAACTAGTTATGTCCTAAGTAGGTAATTACTCCCATCTAATTTTTACTCAAGTTTGCTTGAATAGTTGTATTATGAAGTCAAAACAAAGTGTCCTAGTCTGTTTTGTCATCAAAAAGATTGATTGTTTCTTTCTGGAGTTTAGATCCAACATGTGTTAATTTGGAGCACAGATGCTAGATGTGAGACATAGAGTATATTTTTAGCTGCAATTAACACGTCTTGAGTATGAGTTGAATTTTGCGCTGGTTATGGTTCAAATATTCTTTAATTTTGTCTCTTTTTAGATAATGGTAAAATTGTTATGTGGCACAGCAGGTTTGGAAGTGGGTTAAGCATATTAAAGTCCAAGCATTGTCTGTGTGAATTTGATGTCCCCCCTTCCTGGAATATTTTCCTCTCTGACCAATGTTCCATCAGGGAAACAACTGCATGTTTTATACGTCTAGTGTAGCATCAAGCTTGCGCACTCCCCCCCCCCCAAATCGACTTGGAAAGAAAGTAAAGGGAGTTCTAAATACTGTTTCACTCTCCTTGCTTTGTAAGATTTCCACTGGTGGTAGGTAAGAGTTCTGGTGTGGTTGCTCCTCCTCTCCCCCTCCTCCAAATCCTTATGTAACTGCTATTATTGTACTGGTTTTATCTGTTTATAGTAAATATGGCTGGTATATGAGCTTGGCATTAACTAACAACAACTTTTAAAAAAATGTGACTTGTTTTCTCCCTAGCAAAAGAAAACCAGTCAGAAGACAGCCCGCCGCGGCTCCTGACTGGCACCAAGTCCTCCATCAACATCAGCATCAAGACTGGCAGCAATTCTTCCCTCTCCTCCCTGCTGAGCATGCCCGACTCCCCAGGATCCCCTGGCTCCCCGCCCATTTTGGGCTCCCCCGAGTCTCCCAGCAGCCCCCCGAGCTCATCCCCACACTCCCCGGGCCGCCTGGCCCCGACCCCGCACACCTCCCCCAACAGCAACAGCAACAACCTGACGGTGGTGGCCGGCAGCAAGGCCGCCTCGGGGGCCAACAACAGCACTGCGGCGGACGCTGGAGCAGCAGCAGCAGCAAGCAATACAGAGGCGGCCACCGGGGGAAACGGCAGCGCGGTCATGGGGGGCACTGTCAGCACCACCATGACGGGCGGCGCGGCCTCGAGAGTCGCGGCCACAGTGGACGCAGTGACCTCGTCTGTGACCAATGTCGTCACCACTAAAACGGTGAGTCCTCCATCTACTTTTCAGGTGCCTCCTACCCCTACTGGGCTTCTCAAGAGTTTTTGGATGTTACTTTTTTGCCTCCCAAGGATGGGCCATTTTCTGGGGTTTTCCTGTATTCTGGATCTTTTTTCACCTTTAAGTCAAATAATCCTGATTTGTTATGATTTAATGCATGATCTGGAGATTTAAAAAAATGATTAAGTCAGTCTTTCTTGGGTGCTGATACATAGCTAAGTATTTGTCGTGAAAATAAAACTTTGGACGACTTGAATCTTGAATTGTTAAGACTCTCTGACTAGATGTGGGTTAATGCTTTCTTTAATACTGTGTACAACTTTTGTCCGAAAAATAGATGACTTGGGTAAAAAAAAAAAAAGGAAGTAATAGACATTGTAAGGTTTTGGTATGACAAGTTCAGTTTAGAGATCTGTACAGAAAAGAGAAACTGTATTGATTTCATAAATAGAATAATGCTAAAAGCTTTGGACCCTTGTGTCTAATATTTAGTATTTTATTTAATTGGTTTTTAAAATTTTCCTCTGCAGCCTGGTCTAAAAGGATTAGTGGACTATCCAGATGAAGATTCAGAAGAAGAAGAAATGGAGGAAGAGGAAGATGTGATAGCACCATCTCCGAAGCGGCCAAGAGTGGGGACATAACAGAAGCTTATGAGGCTCCATGCTCACGGTTCATCCCTCATACCTCCATCAAAATTTTATCCTTCACAAAAGCCATGTTTTAGGATGGCGGGCCGAGGTATATGATCTTGACCTCCTCCTACTCCCACATACACCCCCTCCCTCCCCCCTGCCTCGCCCCTCCTCCCAACATGGTCACACACTGACCTTCCCATTGTGCAGACTGCTAGTGATATCTCACTGTCTTTGAGTGTGGACTTGTGTGTTTGAAGGCAGTTTACGACCTCACCAAGCATCGTGTGTGAGAGGGAAGGGATGATTGTCTAGGTTTAAATGTTGTGTCTCTGGAGCAGTCAAAATGATGACCATCTCACGGAAAATTACTTTGACGAACTTTGAAAAGGTATCCTGTAATGTCTTAGGAGATTTAAAAGAAAAGACCTAATGGCCTTGATGATCGGTTGAACACAGAGTTGGTGGCAGCTCACAGCTACGCTAACGAGTCACTACACAAACTGAGATTGCCGGTGTTGAACATTTCGTCTCCGATCTTCGCTAAGGGAATGAGCCATCCAGCACCATGTGCCTCATTTTGACTGCCCATCGGACAGATGTTATAGCCATCATTGTTTCCATTAATGACGATCTTCAGTACCTTCTTGCAATTTTGCAGTCTACGTAGTCAGGAGGTAGGGTGGGTGGGGGGGATAGTTCGAATGCAAGAGGAATGCAATGGTCAAAGGATGTGAAAGTCAGTGCTGTACTTCACTGTTGAACATTTCTAATCAGTTGATTTGTGAGGTTCAAGTTTATTCGCCAGTTTTAAAAAATCTACAGTGGGTGCGAGTGGAAAGTATGTTGCTGTATACTGAGACTGAGTTTAATGTTGCAACCCCAAGATTGTGTAAGAATTATCTTCCAGAGTACAGTTCCTTAAGACGTTTTGTTGGATAGTGTTCTGTTCTGTTGCTTGTTTATGATTGACGTGAGCGGCATGTTCATTTGTTTGGGAATGGGTTTGGGGGTGTTTTTGTACGAAAGTTACCTTGTAAATATGTCATAATACTGCAGAGAATGGACAGATTCAGGGATTATTATATTTCATAATAAGTTTGTGGTCATTCTGTCAGGTCCTCGTGCTTGTGCTAGTGGTACCCGTGTATGGTTGCTGCTGTTCCTCTCAGTTTGTCATGATTTTGCCCTCCTCGTTTGTCTGTTCTCAAGTAACTGGACATGAGCACACGCATCTCATTTGTCTATATCTTTTCCCTGTGCAGTTGTGTGCTTCAAACAGTGAAGTCTGCAAGTAATGAGTAAGCCTTGTATTGTAGAAAGTGAGTTTGCTATGTAAAGCTGGCCGAATGTCAATGTGCCACAAAAGTAACCAAGAGATCGTGTACATTCTAATGATTGGCTGCACACAGAAATATCACCTTGTACATTTGATGAGAAAAGACTCTTATGGAGTTTTTGGTCATAAAGTGTTGATTGATTTTTACAATTTTTCATAAGCATTGCCTCTTTTTGATTGTCTTTGTTTCAATTTGTTATGAGACGTGTTTTGATTGAAAGGGAACAGGTGTTTTCACCTTACTTTCATATCTGCGCTAGCTGAAGCGTAGTTATGTGAACTGGTTGATGCACTTTGGCACACGCTTCATCTTTTGTCTTGCGGTTTTTTGAAAGAAGCAAAGAATACATTATATGGAAAGAGTGAGAGAGGAGAAATGTATGCTCTTGTTTGTCTTGACAAGATCCTTCCCCCTCCCACCCACCCTGTGGCTCACAAATTGTGTTGTTTGTGTGTCGGGTGGTGTAGACCTAGGCAGGAGAACACAACAGCTAGGACATAGACATGCTAATCGTTTTGGATTCAGTTCTGATTCTTTTGCCTTTTAGCATGATTTGAAGAAAGCGTTTTTTGTTTTTTTTGGTGAAATCTCGAATGCTGATATGTAGGAATGAAAGCAAGAAATTATTTGATTACTTTTTTTCTCCACCGCAGCAGATGCTGGGGCATGGGGCAACACCATCTGCTCTGTAACTGTCCCATCTTAACTACTAATTGTATAGCGATTATTTTACCAATCTTTTTTTTGTGAAAATCAAAATGGCCCAAGAACGGTCTTCTTGGGGAAAGAGATTTACCTCGGTTTATCATGGGACACAGTGGCACACAGCCACCTGGACGAGATGTCTTGAACAATGGAAGTATCTAAAAAAGATTGATGTTAAAAGCCCGTCTAAAGGGTTTGTTTCAGTTTCTCATTTTGTTGATAAGGAGTCTTGTTCGGACCGCTAGTCTTTTTCACTTACTGGGTATTATATACCAATGACCTGAGTTACATTTGTTTCTCAGTTTTAGGAACTGTGAAGGTCATCGGTTAGAGGATTTCAGAAAAAGGGAAAGAAACTGATCTGTAGGTTTTATTGATGTTGGAAGTCATCGTCTCTTTTTGTATGTCTCATTATTCTAAAGAGTTATTATGAACGTCAATGGTTCTATGGTTTATTTTAAGTGAGAAGTTATTTGGAGTCTTGGAGACATATTATGTTAGATGTGTCAAGATAAGTTCCATCTGTAGATGACAGGCATTGCTCAATGAAAGACAGTCTTTGTTCTGTAACAACTCTTAGTCTTGGTACAAGATTATCGGGGAAGAAAACTAATGTTTAGGAGTTTTGTCTTTGTCATTTTGCTGCAATTTCCAGAATTTGAAAACTTAGATAGTTTTCACATGTCAAAGTTGTTAAATTTGACAGGTTGAATTCACAGGGAGGCACAGAAAAGAGGAGATTGTTTGGCTTTTTCGATACGCAGCCTTGTTGTTGGGTTTGATTGTTTGCTCTGTATAACCATGTCTGTGAGGGGAAACGACTGAGATGGTTAACCAGAGGATCGTCATCTCTCAAGGGACTTAGTCTGAAAGTGATGGAGCCTTTCACTGGAAAGACACAAGATTACAAAGTATCACTTCTTTACTTTGTTGAGTTAAAAAAGGAGAATAATTATTGGCCGAAACTTTGTGCCATTATAGTGTTACATTTTGTGCCTTGTTTGTCATCTGCAGGTTTGCTAGAAAATTGTATGCAGTCAAGAATCTGCTGGTAGCATGCCTAGATAAATAATTATTGACCAGTTGAGGGAAAAATGTACTTGTATCAGAGTACAGTAACAAGGGTACTAGTTGTCCTGTTTTGTAAGTGTAGAGTCTATATATATGTTACTTGAAGGTGTACTTTTTAGTAGTGCTAGTATTACTCTGAAGATCTGTCTCCCTGATTTTTGGAGCAAAGTCAATGAGGTGAATTTCGATATAAGCTTATTTTACATCGCAGTCCTACCAACGAAAAAAAATCTTGATTATGTCATTTTGTTTTTAACACTGGGAAGTTTAGCTCTGTAGGTGTTCTCAGGTGACCAAAGGCATTGTTTTTATTTATTTATTAAATTATTTTTTTTGGTAAACCAAATCATAGTTTTTTTTTCATTTAGAGGTGCTGTGTTGCAATTTGTAGGTGCATCTAAAAAAAAGTAGCAAACTTTGTGGATGGTTGTAAGCAATTGTTATGTTGAGTTGGGCATTGTATAAAAAATATTTTTTTATATACTGATTATGTCAAAGAGTTGTTTTTTTAATAGTTTTTTTTAAAAAAGGATTGTACATGATAAAGTAGACGGACAAATTTATAAAAGAACTTTGTCCAACTAGAAAAGAAATTGAAGGCACAATGTGTAATTTTTTCCCTTTTTTCTCACATCTTTATCTTGAAAGTTATTCAGTATTTTTGTAAAATATGATGGAATGGCAAGATTCCAGAGAGAAACCTAAAGAGTGTGTTGTGGGGGTCATTGTTTATGAACGAGAGTGGGGCGGTCATAGATCTCAAGTGTAACGACAGTGAAAGAGGAGTCAGTGGGGAAAGTCAAAGTTTTTTGTACCAGTTTAACCCTATCCGTACGCCCTGGGGTCATTTTCTTCACATTTTAGAATACTTCTAGTATGAAGATCTCTTTGAAACTTTTGGTATTTATCTAAAAATCATTTTGACAGACTGCTATGCAAAACGTACGGATCGGATTGAGTAAATTTTCTCTGTTGAAAGTGGTGGCACAGAGTTCCCAATGTCATATGGATTCAATAGTAAAACACGACGTATGGATAGGGTTAAAGTAAAGGATAGTGTTGTGGCATAGTGGAATCAGGTGCTCGTCAAGTTATTAATGTCATCTTAAACCTTCTTAAAATAACTATGTGTCTTGAATTGAAGTTGAGATATTTATGATTCAAGGATGTAGGGTTGCCTAATGTCAAGAGATAAAAATTGATGAAAAAAGTGACTGCCAAAGTTTGGTCACTTACAAAGTTTGAGTGTCCTTGGAAACAAAAAATTTACTTTTTTTTTTGGGTGCCGTTCATAAAAACCGGAGAAAAATTGCAGAAAGGGCGGAAAGTCGAGTCTCTTTGATTCCTTTATTTTGGTGAGCGTCTGATTTCACTATGATGCCTCACAAAACTTGGAATGATCTGGTGCCCTTCTTCTTATCACCAGTTTCTGAAGGAAAACTCCTGCACAACAGTAGTTCAATATACGAGACGGAAATTGCTTTGTAAATTGAAAATTCTTGCACCTTCAGAAACCTTGTTGTTGGCATCTATCCTGACCTATTTATTGTTGGTTGTATTATTGTTTGAATTTTTACAATTCTAGAACCAAATTCTCGAGTTTCTTGTCGCTGTGGGTTTTTTCCTCTCTGTTTTTTCTTGAGCGTTTTATACATTCGCATTGCCGTTTTTGTGCGTTGACAATGTCTAATGTGTTCAAGCCAGGTCTCTGCTACTGCTGCTAAATCCCCAACAATGGGATGGAAAAGAAAAGTTTCTATTTTTAGAAAAGAACTCCCCGTGTGCATGTATGTGAGCCACTTGTTCGGGTTATGTTGAGAGCTTGCATATATTGTTACTGTTCAGTTATTGTCTGTGAAAATGTATGATGAGTTCATGTATTATATTCTCATTCATGCTTACAAAAAAAAAAAGCTATGGGTAGGGGGGGGGGGGGAGGGGGAAACAATCATCTTCACCAGCTGTTTCATTGCAGGCGAGAGGATATCATTTGTGCTTGTTGACTATGGTTTGTTTATTACTGTGCACGTGTATGGGTTAGGGTGCGCGTGCGTGTCTGTGTATGTGTTTGAGAGAGTGTGTGTGCGTGCATGTGTGTACGTGTGTGTGTGTGTGTGTTTTGATTGGTTGGCAGCCTGACAGAGTGAGTGGGAGTGTGATGTTGGAGGGGTTTGTCTGCTTCTGGATCAAACTCTCTCAACCTGTGAAACTGGCTGGGAAAAAAATCACGTGTGTTTTAAAAGAGTCCATTGTGTAAAAAGATCTGTTGTAATAAATCGTCTTTTATGAACTGATATTGTGATTTGGTGCCTTGATCTTTTTTTTTTTTTTTTGCAACATCAGTGTTGAAATGGATTGTGGGTGAGCATGTTCTGTTGTTGTGCTATGTCTTTGTTGTACAAGGTGTTTGCTTGCTGTGCATAGACACTTGGTCTGGTCAATGTTACTGGCGTCTGTGGGTGGTTGGCGGGTGCTCTGGTGTGGTTTGCTTCTTCTTTCCTATCAAACGTCTATCGTCCTTATCTCCCCTTCTTATTTTTTATGTTTGTTACTCTCCTGTAGCACCTCTAATCTTCTGGCGCTCATATGACCTTATGCAGCTGCGAGCGCCGTAAAACCTCTACTAAAACAAAACTGGCGTTTGTGGTTTAGCATTTATGAGCTTTGACGTGGTACACAGAAGATGAGTCTGACTTGGGTTTGGGGAGAATGTTCATCCAGTGTCTCTCTGTCTTTGTGTTGGGATATTGTATAATTCTCAGCCTGGGTTGGCCCTGTAGTGATGTGCCTGGACAGAAATATAATTAGGCTTACTGTTATTACGGAGAGAGCCTGTTTTTGGCTCACTTTATAATTGGTCGCTTTTAAGGACCAGCGGGCTAACCCAGATTTCGGGGGTTTCCCGAAATCTTGACCTGCACCAAAAGTGGGCTTTGCCCTACCCATAGGAAAAAGTTTGGTTTTATTGGTGTGTATATTTGATTGGTTATAGAGAAATTTCTCATGGCCTTTTAGAGAAACTGAACAAGGGGCAAACACTTTACCTTCGATTTTCTCAAAACAGTATTTTACGGGATAGCCCCCTTGTGCTTAAAAGCGACCAGTTCTGCTGTAACTGTAACTCTAATACAGAAGTGATATTTCCAATAATAATTGCAATTCTGGTAACAGCAAGATGGTATCTTGGAATCAGTTTAAGTAAATGTTTTACGGCACTTGCAACACGATTGGATCATATATAAGTGTGATGGGAACATTTCATGCAGTGGAAACAAAACAATCCTTCGTGGAAGTATCTATTCTGCGATAGAGTGCGGTTATGAAGAAGGTAAAAAAATGGGTGTATCACTTTTATCTATTACCCCGTCCTGTCTACATACATCTGCTTTAAACTTGTGTCACCCCCCGGGGCAGTGCCACTGACTGGTGCCTTTAGGCCATTCTCAAAGAGGGGACATTTCTCGTTCAAGCATAGTAGAATTGTAAATGGGCCTACTCATGTCACGCTCATAACTGTGGCTGATCTCCAACAGGGAACTGTTGCTTTTTCTTTCCTGATCCTTACTACATGTATTGTCATTTTCCTCTACTTCTTTTTTATGTTTGTCACTCTCTTGTGACCTGCTATTTCTGGGGTGCCTTGATACGTAGTCGAAGCAGACCTTGTGCTGTTGAAGCTGGAGAGGTGAGCAGTCTAAGCCTGATTCCCTGTAAAGACTTCTCTGTTGACACCCACCCCTTGGCGCTCATATGACCGTATGCAGTTGAGAGCTCCGTAAAACCCTCTACTATTAAAAAAAACACAACTTGTGTCACCTCAACAGAGTTTCTCATTTCAAGGTGAAACCTACATACTTTTCTTTTTCCCCCAAATGTTTCCATTAGAACAAAAAAGAAAGCTTAGGTACCGACGTCTTTGGTGTAGTGGTTAGGCGCTTTGCTGTCGCACACAAGAGACTTGAGTTCACTTCCTGAGTGAGGAGAATTGCTATAGAGTATCTGTAGGGATTCATCCCACGACTCTCAACCAGGTTGGCTCTGACTGACAGGCAGGGTCGAAAGTCTGCCTCCTGAATGATCTAAAATAAAATTGTATCGTTCGGGGCGTCCAAACAACTAGGTACATTAATATAAAAAATAAAGCGTATTTAATTTAATTTTTTCCCCCTTCTCTAGGGATCATCATAAACATTTATCTATTTCACCTTGGTATTGGGTCTAGGCTGCCAAGAAGCGTTTCCTATCTGCCTCTGTTCTTGGCGATCTTCTCCATCTCCAGCCAGCTGTCTCCCATATAATGCCTTTGATCTGCCTCTAGATCTTGCTTCCAGGTGAATCTCGGCCTTCCTCGCCGTCTCCTCCCCTGGGGGTTTCATCGCAGGCTTTGTCTTGTCACATTGAGGGTTTACTTTCTGAGTGCATATGATGTCCAACCCATCTCCATCTTCTCATCTTGATCTCATTTCTCACAGTCACAGTCAATAGGTTGTTGTTTGGTTCGCCTTGATAATACATTTCGGATGGTGTCTGGCCAGTGGATTTTCATGATCTTCCTCAGGCAACCACTGATGAAGGACTGCAAATTGTTTAGGATCTGCGTTATTAAGTTTCCACGTTTCCGATTCATACAATAAATTTTCCCCGTGGTTTTATGCACCCCGCGTAATTTAGCAAAATTTGATGATTATTTGCATAATTTCTGATTATTTTCCTTTATCATTCTTTGTTAGAAATTAACAGAATCGCATAATTTCACATTTTTGGGCTCAGTTTGTGTAATTTCAGAATTTTTCTTGCGTAAAACGACGGGGACAGAATAATACTGTTTTTACATTTTGTACTGAAAATCCTGATCTTCGTATTTGTAATTTGTAAGCTACTTGTCCTGATGCTTCCCAATCTCCAGACTGTAATTGTTAGAATGCCCCCTTGCTTTTCCAATCCTGGTCTTGACATCAGAGTGGGTGCTCTGTTGTGGTATGCTCGTTCTTTCTTATCAAACATCTATCGTCCTTATCTCTCCTCCATTTTTGAGTTTGTTACTCTCTTGTAACACTTCTAATCTTCGGCACTTATATATGCCCTTATTGTGTTGCGAGTGCCGTAAAACTCTCACTAAAACAAACAAACAAACAAACAAAACAAAAAACAAAAACAGAGCGGTTTGATCTTGATAGAGGTTGGGTTGTACCAGCCCGTTTCTTATTTTTTTATTTGGGTAAAGAGAAACATAGACATAATAATAGTCATTTAGTGCACAAGGTTCTACAAAAATCTTGACTACATATCGATGTGGCAATGGACAAAGTACAATATATCTTTTTTTCGGTAATCGTCAGTTTACTGTATGTAGTTAAGAGAAAAAGATTTGCCATAAACGATAAAGAAACAGAATTCACTCCAAGCCAACAGTGTTAAACAGCAGAAACCGACAGAAAAATACAAAACAATGGAATTTAAAAGAAATACAAAATAAATACAAAGAACTAGAAGAGTCAATAGCACCTGTTTGAAAACGTACAAAATGTACAAAAGGAGGGTATATGGATTTGAAATCACATCAATTACTACATGCACATGTAGTATAATAGTTGGTCTCTCAATGTCAGACGATGACCAATGCATCTGCAGTGAAGGGTATTAACATTTGTGTCACAGCACGGTGGAATCAGGCGCTCGTCAATTTTTTGAAGTGTGGAGTTATTGGTATCCTTTTAAAGGTTGTTCATTCGTCTTGCTTTCCTTGAAAAAATACTCATATATTATTAATAGAAGTTAAGATATTTGCGATTGAAAGAGGTGGAGGTTGCCTGGATTCAGAGGTAAAATTAGCGAGAAAATGGCCGCCAAAGTTTGGCGACCTTCAGAGCATAGAAGTCCTTAGAAATGCAAGTTTACATTGTCGTTCCTAAAATCAATATTTTATTTCAGTAAAATCCACACAGAGATGTGTTTTTTAATGGACCTTATAAGTGTTGAGTCAAAAAACAAAAATTCGATTTTAAAAATTGACAAACGGACAGAAAAATCCTATTTTTTTCGATTTCATTATTTTGGTGAGCGCCTGATTTCACTACGGCATCTCACATTTCTTACTAAGCGAAAAAAAGGATGAAGATGGCTTACGGCTTCTAATATGGCCAATGGGATTCAATTGTGGAGGAGAAGAGTTCCACACTGTGAGCGTTTAAAAGCTTTGTTTTTACTTGCGGATGCGAGCAGCTCACGGGCTGCTTTTTTTTCATCAGCTATTTATTCTTGTAGTACTAGTAGTGCAGTAGTAAGCAAAGTCATCTTTGTGGATTGCAGTTTTTTCTCGCTCTAACTGGATGCATTGTCTCCTCTCTGGTCCATGTCCTAACGTTAACTATAATGGACACTGAAAGTTTTGCCTCCGTAATGACATGTCGATATCACGAAGTCCAACAAACTTCAGTGAACACAACAGCAAAACAACCCCC